TTATATAAACATTTATTTATTTAAATATTCTAATCGCTCTTTCTTTTGTTTTTTTAAACGATAGAAAATTTCTCTTTATAATTAACCTTAAAAATTAACATTTGTTTCTTATGAAATTATTAAAAAATATTTATCCTCTATAATACGAATATATTTTATTTTATTTCAAATTTAATCAATATTAAAAAGTTCAATAATAATTCTATGATAAAATCTAATTTACCTATGAAATAATGTCTTAACTACGAAATAATATTTGACCAAATAATGAAAAAGAATTTTCTTCTCCTTTAATTTTGATCTTTATATTCATATTGTTGTTTTTCTTTCATGAAAACAATTCCTATTTCATTTAATACTTCATCAAATATTTTGAGATTGGATTAAACAATTATTTGCTTGGTTTTACTATTCACGTGTCTTTTTTCATATCAATAAGAATCTTTTCGTGTTTAGTTTTAATTTCATCTTCAATCAACCAAATCTCTTAACAATTTTTTAATGTAGGAAAACGCCACCTTTTCATATCGTCATCATTCATTCACTTTATTCTCATCTATGTTTATTTCAAACAATTTTTCATTTAATATTAGAAAGTTTCGATCAATCAAAATCTCAAATAAAAACTGGTTTTAAGAGGAAAAAAAAAAATTTTTCTTTGACGTGAGAAAAATATTCTCATCTCTCTCCTATTGTTTTTTTTTGCACGCCGGTCGTGAACGGTCAGTCAATTTTCTTGTAGAATGAATATCCTTGGCAAAGAAGAATAAAACAAAGAGAGAAGGTGACCGGGCCAAGGGTCATTTATTAATCTCAACCAATAAATGACAATGACCTTCGAATGAACCAATGATCATTTCGTTTTGTTCATTATTCTTATATAAATTGATGTGTATCCCAGTGAAATAGTTACACAATTCAGTTTGTTTCTATGCAGAGTAAGTAGATTCATTTCTCATACGGAAGTCACTGTTCGTCTTGCCTCGCTTGATCGAAAAACAAAAATAGCGAAGCTTGTCGATCAGTTCCCTCCGATGAGATATTATTATTTAAATATGTTTATTTAATAAAAAAAACATTCAAATATGAAAATTGCGAATACACTGTTCACACACCTCGCGCCGTGATTCGATTTAAAAAAAGTTCCGCTGGGTTGTGCAAACAGTCTAATTGCTTTTTTTCAATATCTTCCTTCATTATTTTAATAAAGACACAGAAAAAAACTGTTCATCTAGCCTCGCCTTAGAATTTTATTTTTTATAAAGGCGGGAGCAGATCGTGACAGTCATTAAATGTGTTTATTATCGACGACTTGTTTATTGTAAATCAAAAAAAAAAAGAAAATGAATGTTTTTTATTTTTAAACTTGTGCCATACGAATGTAACCTTTTCCACTTGGAAGATCCTTTCGAATTTCAACACCTTGTGGAAAATGTTTAGCAACATCTTCATCTTTAACATTAGGTGGAACCATTACTTTTTGGCCAACCTTAAATCCAACAAATAAAAATGAAAACATAAATAAAATACAATAATCTACCTTCCAATCAACTGGTGTTGCAATAGGTAATTTAGCTGAAAGTTGTAGGGAATCAAGTAAACGAAGAATTTCACTAAATAAAACAATTTTCTATAAGAAGATTTTTCGATGAAAAAAGAAAAACAAACTCAAAATTTCTTCCACTTGTTGCTGGATACAATAAACTTGCTTTTAATTTTTTATCAGGACCAATAAAAAAAACCTATTAATAAAATAAATCATAGATTTAAATTTATCTGTAAGATAAAACATACAGCGCGAGCAGTAAGTGGTAAACCTTTTGTATCGAATTCGGCGGGATCAATCATACCAAGCTGTTTTGCTAATTTTCTATCGTTATCATCGATGATTGGAAATGGAAATTCGGTTGAGGATTGATCTTTATCACCATAGGCTTGAAGATCCTAAAATTTGAATATAAACTAATTGTTTATTGAACAAAACGAAAATATATACATACTTTAATCCAACCATGATGACTTTCAACGGTGTCACATGATAAACCAATTAGTTTTGTATTTCTTTTAGCAAATTCTGGAGCTAATTTAGCAGCACGTGATAATTCAGTTGTGCAAACAGGTGTATAATCAGCTGGATGCGAAAATAAAATTCCCCATCTAAAATAAAATATTTGAATTGGAAAGTTCTATTTGTTTTTCTTAACCACAATAGCGAAGTTACTAACTTATCGGCAAGCCATTCATGTAAATGAATATCACCAGCTGTTGTTTTTAAATTAAAATTTGGAAATTCGTCTCCAAGTTTCAATGACATTATTTTTTGAAGTCAACGAAGAATTTGTGTTTGTGGTATCTAAAAAAAAGTCGATATGAATAAGCAAAAAAGAAAAAAATAAGGTAGTAAACGAAGGAAAAAAAAAACGTCGTCATTTATTTGTGCATCAACGGAAGTGGTTGAAGCAAAAAGAAAGTATGTTGGCAATCAAGGTAAAATATTATCTTTCACAATCACATCGACAGTTTATTTTTATCGGCAAGTATGTCGAGGGCTTCTTCAATTTTCTATATATTTGCCTTTTTCAAAAATGTCAATAGACATATTTATCTCTCAACCACATTTAATCATAATGTAATCTCAATAATTTCGGGTTAAAAAATGAAGAAGCTACTTGATAAATATAGAAAGATATTTTTATTGAGCTTTCGAAATCAGTTAATCTCTTATATTTCACTTTCAATAGGATAAATATATACATCATGAAAATTTTTAAATTTCTTTTCATTTTTATTTTGGTTTTGTTGAATGAAAGAAAAAAGATTTCCGGGAGTAAACTCTTATAGGATCTATCAGCATTCGATGTTTTCAATGATAAATAAAAATTCTCAGAAATATTTCTATTATTAAGTCAATATGAAAAGTAAAAAGGTATACCGATACAGTTTTTTATGCTCTACAATTTAATATAATGGTCACGTTTTATCGACTAGTCGATGCAAGGTGAAAGAGGTATGATATTGCATTTGTTTCACCCTACATTAACTATTCGATAAAAATAATCATTATGAAAATTAGTAGAGCATGAAAAAGTGCATCTATCTACACGATAAATTTTCATATTTTTATTATAATAGAAAATTATCAGTAGCATAGATATCGTTCGAAGGACTCAAAACTGATATGCCATAAGACTATCTCGACAAACTTTTTTTTTGCCTTCAATGAAACAGCAAAAATAAATCGAGAGAAGTGTGCAAAATTTCATGTTCCGCTGTTCTGTTTTATTGCAAGTGATATATTAGGGGAAACGGGGGCAAGTTTACGATCTTGTTTGATGATATATTTTCGTTTGATAAATAGTTAAATAGATAACGAAAATTTACAGTTGACTTTAAAGTCCACATGTCTTAATCAGAAATATTTTCGATAGAGAATCGTCAAATAAAATCGATTAATCTTTATGGCATTTGGAAAGAATATTCAAGTTGTTTTTTTGGATAAACGTATAAGCATACTCCATCGAATGACATATTATTGTTAATAAATAAATAAAGTTTCAGTGAAAAGTTTCATCTTTTTCTCGTTGTCGTTTTCATTGACAAAAAACCTATTATTTCAGGTCGTCATTTTTCATTTGAGAGATAGTTTAGTTAATAAATGAATCTTAAAAAAGTGTTTATTATATCTGAAATAAAACAAAAAAAAAAAAAAGAAAAATAATATCTAAATATTGATGAAAGATTTTTAAATACGATTATATGTATCATTAATAATTGTCAAAAAATCGTTATAAAGAATATTTTTCTCTAAATTAAAATGATTTGTTGTCCATTGTTGAAAATCATTTTCTATATTTTGTTTAATAATTATTAAAAATTGTTTTATTTTTTGATTTAATAAATAATTATGTTTGTATGGTGGATCATCATATGGTGACCAATTATATTGATTATAAGATAATTCAATAATTTTAATAATTGTCCATGATATATCATTATCACCTGAATATAATTCTAATGAATTGAAATAATTAAATGATTTAATTAATTGAATTTGTTCATTAGAAAGTAATTGTTCAATTTCATATTCAATATTTAATTGATTATAAGGATTAAATGATAGAACAAAACCATATTCAATAAATAAATCTATATTTGAATGAGGATTATAAAGAAATGTTATTTGTTCATTTAAATTTATTGATTTTATTGTATGAATTTCATATGAACGAGTTAAAGAATTATATTTTGATATGGTATTTGGTTCAATTGAATGATTAACAAAATCTGAAAATAAATAAAGTAAAACAATAAATAATTTAATAATAATTAAATATATTCAAACCTAAATATGGAATAAGACAAAGATTATCATCTTGATCTTTTGATGAAATTTTCATATCAAAATAAACACATCGTGTATTTATTGTATAATAAGCCCATTGAAAATCTTTTTCTGTATAATTTTGAAATTTATTTCGTGATTGATTATATTTATTTAAATGTTTTTTCATTTTATTAATTAATTGTTTAGGATATTTATCATTTATAAAATAAAACCATTTTGGAATAGATTCAATTGATCGAAGAAATTCAATATATGGATTTGTTTTTTCTTCTAATAAATAAAAAATTAAATGTTCAAAACCTGTTAAATTATTATTTTTAAATGATGGTTTAATAAAAATATGTTCAGGTATTGAAAGAATTAAATAATCTTTTTCAATTAATCTTCGACAAGAATAAAGACCAAAACCAAAATTATTTGAATAAGAAACATTTACATTTTCTGTATTGACACCAGTTGAATTAAACCAACAAAGAAATCGTTCGATATTCATCAATCTGAAATAATCAAATAAATAAAATAAAATTTTACTTTTTTTCAATAATTTTATTTTTTATTATGTCTTTAGATTTTAGTATAAAAATAATTATTTTCGTTGATAAATCAATTCAATTCAATTCAATTCAAGTTATGCGTCGTAATCAATGACGAAACAAAATAAATTTAACAAATGTTTTTCAATCGTCTTATTGATTGTATTATATTTGTCTCACGTTTAATAATTTATTGCATTAACATCTTAGCACAAAATATTGACTGAGTTTAGCAGATTAGAGATAGAAGTTCTTTGTTAGGATGAGACATTTTCACTCTTTCCGAATATATGTTTTCAATTGAGTCCTTTACAAATTAAAATACAAAACACATTTCAAATGGATTAGTTTTCTTTTGGGGAAAGATTTATCTAGAAAGTGTTCACGTTAATTCTATTTTTGATCTTGTATGACGCATTTAATGACTTTTCATTATTGAAAAAGCAGTTTTGGAAAGATCGCTTATTGTATAATTTTATTTGATAGAGAATTCCTAAGCTCACAATAATATTGAGTATTAAGTGCTCCATGAATTAAAGATTGTGTCACAATCAC